AATTTTCATCATAGGTATACCTCAACTATGAGAGACAAAATGGGGGGGAAAATCCAGAAAATCACATTGTCTGATTTTTAAAGAATTTATTTGCAAATCATGGTGGAAAATAAGTATTTGGTCAATATCAAAAGTTCATCTCAATACTTTGTTATATATCCTTTGTTGGCAATGACAGAGGTCAAACGTTTTCTGTAAGTCTTCACAAGGTTTTCACACACTGTTGCTGGTATTTTGGCCCATTCCTCCATGGCTGTGGTTGGAGATACAGTGGGGCAAAAAAGTATTTAGTCAGGCACCAATTGTGCAAGTTCTCCCACTTAAAAAGATGAGAGAGGCCTGTAATTTTCATCATAGGTATACCTCAACTATGAGAGACAAAATGGGGGGGAAAATCCAGAAAATCACATTGTCTGATTTTTAAAGAATTTATTTGCAAATCATGGTGGAAAATAAGTATTTGGTCAATATCAAAAGTTCATCTCAATACTTTGTTATATATCCTTTGTTGGCAATGACAGAGGTCAAACGTTTTCTGTAAGTCTTCACAAGGTTTTCACACACTGTTGCTGGTATTTTGGCCCATTCCTCCATGCTTGCACAATTGGTGGCTGACTAAATACTTTTTTGCCCCACTGTATCTCCAACCACAGCTTAAAATGCACAATTGGTAGACAGCTTCTGAATGGACAGTAAGCTTTGCAGTGAAGTGCAGTCGCTCAGCCTCAAAACTGATCCACTTACACAGGAAACAACATTACAAACCTAGTTCCACACCACTACAGAAATCAAGTACCATATATACTTGTGAATAAGCCAAGAATTTTAGGTGCCATAATGCACCCCAAAATTGGGTTCAGCTTATCCACAGTTGAGCTAATCCACAAGTATATAAGGCAATATTTCCCAAGTACCCATATATCCTGTATATACTTGATACTGGATAAGATGATGCTCACATTTTTAACCAAAATACCACAAAAAATGGGTAATCCATGGATTACCCATGGATAAACCAATTGTGGTACATTTTTCCTGTTATTTTGATTAAAAATTTGAGGGTCAGCTTATCCACGGATGGGCTTATCCATGAATATATATGGCAGTTGTAGGATTATTAACATCCTGTCTTTCCAGTAAGAAGATAGTTTACATGAGTATCTCCTTTGATTTTATCCCCACAAAAGCGATCCTGAAGTAGGTTGAAAAAGGACTGGCCCAAAGTCATTAACAACAAGGTTTCCATGGCAGAGACTGAACTTGAACTTAAGTCTCCGCAGGCCTAGTCCAATCCATTGACCATTATAGCATGCTGACTTTCAAGTGTGAATATTGAACTTAGCAGGCTTCATTCTCCATTTCAGCTGAAACGATGCACATAGTAAATATTGCCTTCAAAGGTAAAACTATTGAAGTTTTCCTTCTGTACATGCAATCTTTTGTCTTCTATATAGAATAGTTAGAAGAGATTTCCCTGGTTTTCTAATACATCATGGCTACTATTTCATGCCATTATTACTACTGTTTCAGTCTTTATGAATTTGCCTTTTATTTGCATTTCCAGAAAATGTCAACAAGGACCTAAGAGGTAATTGGCATGTAGCTTACTGAATCATTAAAACAAGACAGGAGCAGAATCCACAGACTCTCCAGATGCTGCCAGCCTCAGCCTACATGCTCAGTGGTGGGGATCTGATTCATCAAGAACAGCAAAGCTACAGAATCACCACCCATACAGCTGGACTATTTAAAGTAATATTAAAGTTCCATACCTTAAAAGGCATAGCAATAGCACACCAAAACACAGAAAATTATTGAGTGGAGCTATGCAGAGAATTGACTGTTTGCTATAATGCAAAGCGAATAAACCAGAGAATTGGAAAGCATTTGGCGAGACCTCAAAATGTCAAGGAGGCACATGTAGAGGTAAACAGTTTCATCACACTTCAATAAGTTCACTTCTATTTGAAAAAGAGAGACAACTTGTTAAATCTACAAGGAAATCCAGGGACAGATGGTTGCAATTCACCCAGGAGTAGGTTACAGCAAAGCAGCTCAGGGCTTCTGAGCATCTGGCAAAATCAACGATGCACTGTTATTACAGAAATATATGCCCATTTCTTCCCATTGGCCATTCTCAATTATCTAGAGAAGTATTTCTCAACCTCAGCAAATTTAAGATAGGTAGACTTCAACTCCCAGAATTCCCCAGCCAGGATACTGTCTAGGGAATTCTGGGAGTTGAAATCCACACGTCTTAAAATTGCTAAGGTTGAGAAACAATGATCTCGAGAGTTGTTGGGGGTGGGTAGGTGGAATACTATATGGGGAGAAGACTAGCATGAGAATGTAGTTCTAATGGATGCTGTGAGGACAGATACAATACAGAAAGTATTTTTCAAAGCATGAAAAGAATCAACACTCCCATACCAATATACAGTGCATTTTGAAAATATTCCGACCCCCTTCACTTTTTTCAATTTTGTTATGTTGCAGCCTGATACTACAATCGTTCAAATTCTTTTTTCTCATTAATCT